CAGGGCGAGATGATGAAACGCCTTTATGACTCAACATCTTTAGGGACTCAGTCTGACTCTGTGCTAATGTTGTTCCGCCCTCATTCATTGTTGTGTGTATGAGCAAGTTGTGAAATGATGCTCTTGAAAGACTGACTCACTTTTTATTGATTGATATTGTTTCTTTTTGGAGTCCTCCAGCTCACAGAAGGTCATTTTGTTAACTGCAAATACAGAAAAACGTTCAGTCGTCGTCTTCATATGTTTGAAATAACAGTGAGATTAAAGCAACATCACACTGCAGTCAGGTTCCCTGCTGCATCTGTTCTGTGAACATCGACACGTCACTGCTGTCTTCACGCTCACCTGTCTTGGCGACTTTAACCAGTTCGTCGTTGCTGGATTCATTCAGTTGCTGTTTCAGCTCAGAGACTGCTTTGGTCACCGGGCCGAAGGAGAAGTACGGGTTGACGCTCACCGACGGCAGCTCCTCGGCCTCTGTTTGTGCTATCAGCATGTGGTAACTCTAATAACAACATGAAAGTAAAATAACACTGATTCTGTTGTATCAGATTATATTTTATCTTCATGAGCGTGCCTTCCTGGGCCGCTGGCGGCTGCCAGTTACCTGGATGAAGTGGATGTGGTCCTCGGTGCGAGACAGCTGCGTGATCTCGTTGTCTCTCGCCTTCAGGTCAGCGATCTCATGAGTCAGACGCTCCAGATGGCTCTCTGCGTTGTTGAGTGCTGCCCGCTTGTTGGAGGATATCAGCTTTGCCATCTCTTGCTGCATCCTCTCAATGGAGCGCATCATGTCGCCAAACATCTTCTCACATTCCTGAAGCGCCCTCTGGGCTGAGTTCTGCACAGGAGACATTGGAGTGTGTCGTAAGGTGAACTGGAGTCACACTGGTTTTCACGATGACACACTTAGAAGAAGGAATGCTGTCAGTGCTGTCAGTGCTGTCAGTGCTGTTAGCTTCCGCTCAGCCTGTAGTGGTCAGAGTGCTCATATCATCTGATAATGACGGTGATTGTGCACAAACCTTGAGAGCGTCCACCGCGTGTTTTAGTTCCTCCATCTGTTTCAGGCGATCGTGAATCCTCTCCTGGATCTCAGCCTGGGTGGCACCCAGCCGTTGCTATAAGACAGTTGAAACATTGATGATTATTATGACAAGAGTTTTACGCAAAAGTAACTCAAATATATTAAATCATCTAAAAAAAAGTAGCTTAAATGTTTGGCTTTTAAGTTCAGGAGTCCAGGTTCACTGGTAAGGTGACCTTTATCTTTGTTTGCATGAATGGGCGTCTATTGTTCGCGGCTCCCCACCCTTTAACTGCTGCAGTGCGCCGTGTTACAGCTTTAATACTGAATATTTGACCCTTATTGTCACACGTTTTAGCGTTATTATTGAACCAAAGGAGGACGGGTACGAGCGTGTTGCCTACCTGCTCCTCAGATCTCTCCTGCTCAGCTGACACCATGTCGTGGCCCTTGTGCTCTTTCACCGTGCACAGCACGCAGATGCACATCTGGTCGGTGCGGCAGAACAGCTCCAGACCCTTCTGATGCTGCGGGCAGATCTGCCTGTCCAGGTGGCCGATTTCATCCACCAGCTTGTGCCTCTTGAAGGTGGCTGACTCGTAGTGGGGCTTCAGGTGCTTCTCGCAGTAGTGCGCCAGACACATCAGGCAGGACTTGATGGCTTTGTGCTTCTTCCCAACGCAGATGTCACAGCCTACATCCTGGGGTCCAGCGACGTTGTAGTCGGGGGATGGAGGTGGAGGCGGAAAGGACTCCGAGTTGCGTTGGAGCGTGGAGTGCCTTGAGCTTCCGACGCGCCTCGGAGTTGGCCTCTTGCTGTAGGAAACCCTGCACTCCGGGCAGTTGAAGGAGCCGGTGTGTTCAGCATGATCCCAGTATGTCTTCAGGCAGATGGAGCAGAATACGTGGCCACATGGGATGGACACAGGGTCCCTGAGATACTCCTTACAAAGGTAGCAGGTGTCTTGGTCAAGCGACATGGAGACCGTTTGCTTCTTTTCCCTCTAACGCCGAGAAGATGACGTGAAGTCAGAGCCTCACTCGTGTCAGCACTGTGGCAAAGTGACTGCACAGGTAGTGCGGGTGCAACTTATATAGAGTAAACAGAGAGGGAGGATAAACAGGTTAAGCCGAAACCAGTAAAACAAGGGCGGAGGAAGAAAAGGACACAATGAGTAGATCCATGTGTTACAGAATGCTGAGACAATGAATGATATGTGCGATCTGAAAATATTTGATCCAAAGAGTTGTAGTTTCCATTTATCACATTTTGACACTGTAAAAAAAACAAAAGGTCCAAACTAAGATAGGAAATTTTGAGCAGCAACGATGTGTAATCAAAGGATACCAAGTAATATTTACAGGAACTAAAGCATTATTTGTTTTTTAACAGAAGTGACAGAAAAACCATAAAACAGGTTTTACACATCTCAGGGAATCCTAAGATGTGTAATAATAAAATAAATAAAATGGCATCAAACGAGTGAGTAAAATGAACCGTTCTGCGCGCTCCGGTCAGATTCAGTCTGTTGGATTTGCTAAAGTGCTGCAAAGTTGACTTCACCTGTGACCAGTTAATTATTAACCGTGTTTACTTTGCATTGCCACTGATTTCCTCTGACAGGATGCCGCAGTTCTCATGAGCTGAGCTTCTGTTACATACAACTGTAACGTTTCCACCAATAAGAAGCTAAAGTATTTAATAATGTATCATCTTCTGCACACACACAAAATCCTTTCCTCTGTATATTTTACTTTATGGCGAACACGCCTCCCGGCCACGATGGAGTTTCAGTGTCAGATAGGAATGCAACTACACTTGATAGCCGAGATAACAGAAGGGCCAAGAAAGCCTGCTTAAAAGATTCCTTTGTGTGAGAGCCAGCGGGGTCTAAACAGGGTCGGCTGTGAACAACAGTAACTGCAGCTGACACGTATGACCAAACTGCACTGGCTGTGGTTACACTCCTCACTGGAAGTGATTCAAAACTTTGTGAACTGATATTGGAAAAAACATCACAAATATCTTTATGTAATCTCTGGTTTGTAAAAGTTACTTATTTTACTTCAAGTTCATTGGCATT